TTTCTTTACTTAAAAGATGATTTCAAAATTTCACTATTTTTATAAATTGCAAAAAAATAAAGAAAAAATAGAACATCTGATATGGTTATCACTATCTACTGATAAAAATAATTTAGCAAGAACAAATAAAAAATATAAAAGAAAAATAACTAACAAATTAATATAAGGAATCACTTAAAGTACAAATTAATCAAATTCTTTCTTTAAAATATTTAGACAAATTATATAATTTACTTGAAAAGATAATATTTTGAAATTATTTTCGGATTAAATGTAGAGAACTGTTGTATTGTTGATGACAATATGTTGTATTGCAGAATTGCTGAAGTTGAAACTAGAATTGAGTTTGTTTTCCTATAACACAGACTACTGTAACCAAATGTTAGGTTGTTCAGAACAGATTATACAAGTCAAAAATGGTATTTCTGTTTCAAAGTCCAGGTGGCAAATATACTGATCAGACCAAACCATTTGCAGCAACACAGATCACAGGGTTGCTTTTATCTTGGATTTGCTTAAAAAAAATCTTTGACCTCTTTCATATTCTTTTTGAATGCCAAAGTATCTGAGGTAGATTTGTAGGAATTTCAATTGTCATAACAATTTAAATGATAGCTACAATTCATTTTAACTTATTTCATTATCAACATTATCTTCATCGTCTTTTTTACTTAACTAAATGTATTTAGAATTCTTTCTGCTTGGCCATATGATGAGAGAAAAAAATCAAAAAGAAACAGTGTTAAATTTGACTGCTTTCAGCAAATAAAAATTTCTGGCCATTTTGAAATAGAAATCTTCATAAACTAGACAGTAATTACCCTGAATAGATTTCAAATAATCAATGTGAGTCCTTGACTAAGGAGGGTCTGTTTCTGGCCAATATTGTATTTCTGCTTGGGGATAGGAATACCTTTTTTCCTTTTACATATTTGTCTATACAGCTTTAGATGAAATTTTAACTTTCTTGTATTTATTAACTGATATCAAAGATTAATATTTTATTCAGTGATGATTTAGAAGGGAAAAAAGCTCCAAAATAAGATCACACTTCTACCATTCTTTAAGACCATCTTATAGTCAATTTTTCCAGGAATCACTCTGCTGACTTCTTCACTCTTATAAAACAGCACAACTTCAATTGTCGCTTATGGGAATCTACGGTTTTGGCAGAGATAATATTCCATGTTCATTGTCTTTCCATGTATGCTGTGGTGTCAAAATTTGTACTTTTTAAATTTCTCTTTTCACAAGCTGAAAACTTTTCTTTTAATTGTGTAATCCTTTCACTTTCATCTTTTGAGCTCTTTTGCAGTGGTAGATTTTTGATGAGAAATTTCATTTGAAATCAGTTTAATTTTCTTTGATACTGCTCCTTTAGTTTTTCCTACTTTTTATTCCTCATAACTGCTTTGTTTTTCAAGTTTTTGATGCTTGATTAGCAATTCACCAATCACTGACAGTAACTCATTAAAAAGTTGCAATTTATTTTCAATATCTACAAAAATGCTAGAAGTTTGTGACTGGTCATGTTGAAGTACATTCAGAAAACTCAGGTAATGCTGTTAATTTTATTTGACAATGGGTTTGCTTTTTTATTATCTTTGTATATATTAGGAATTTTTAAAAAAATATTCATTTTAATGTATCACTTTTTCAGAACAAAACTTAATTTTTTAAATATATATGAAAATACTGAAAATTTGATTGTTTTGTGTATTTAGTGTACTGTGTCAAATGTCAACAAAAATTTGTTAACCATTAACAGCATTTGTTGCATATTTTCATATTTTATTCATGACATTTTTTTAAATAATTATTTTCTTCATGTCACTTTTTCATATAAAAATTTATTTGTTGTATAATAAAAATATAAAAACAAAACAAAAAATAAGGTTGTTTATTTTCCACCAAATTGGTCAACATTAAATCACAAAATAACACAAATTCTGTTCATTTTATGATCATAGTTCTTATGTGAATATTAACCAGCATTTAAAGAGCTTTCTAAAGATATACAACTTGACAATATTGGAAGATATGAAAATGTTAGCTTATACCTTTGTAACTTAGGCCACAGTCAAAAGTACACCACAAAATTTTGTACATATCTTGCCATAAAGCAGACGAATTTGGCAATTTTTTAAAAAATTAAAAAGTTTCTTGAAAAATTAAAGGTCAAAGTCAAATTATCTTATGTGACCTATAAAAATAAATAGGTCAACTTTTAGATCCATTCAATTTAAAATGCCCCCCCCCCCCAAAAAAAACCCAACAACAACAACTGAGATACTGATATTTAAACTTTGTGACTATTTTCCAAAATTCATCTTTTTGGCAAGGAACATATCTCAGGAATCCTTTGACCTAGAAATGTAAAATAGGTACCATTCAATTTCTATCATGAAGCTCTATAAGTGTACCAAATGTGAAAAAAAAAATCTGTCAGTGACGGTCAGATCTTTGTTGATTTGACATGGAATAATTCCTATTTTAAATAACAACAAATAAAGGCTTCAAAATATTTACATCTTTATACGTTAATCTATATTTTTCTGAAATAAAAAAAAATGTTTAATTAGCAATAATTACTGATAAATTATATATTTTTTATTTTCTAAGACTGTCAATTTCTTGAATCTTTTTAAAAAGTATTTTACTATGTTGCTTTATTTTGGTATCGAGTGGAGGCAAGAAGATCATAGACAATGACAAACAAGCATTAGATAATTATCAATTAAGGGTTCTCAAACTCTTCAATGTTGGCACAGAAATTTAGAGAAACATTTAAGAGATTTTCTCTCCAATTTTATTACAAATTAGAAATTTATACTTTGACTTACATAAATATGCTACATGTAGCAAGAAAAACCTCAGAAATATCCTTATGTGCAACTGTATGGGCAAGAAAAATGCTATTTTAGTGAAAGAGCATCTGAACAATACTCTGATGAAATAAGTAGGGAAATAGAATAGTTTTATGAGCAAACATCAGATAGTGTCTTTAGTTCTCAAAATTCTTTATATGAATTTCATAATATACAATTTGAATTACAAGTATATTTTATTCTGTATAAGCTTTTCCCCCACAAAGATTATATGTTTAAATAGTTGCAATCATCTCAATATCTATATGAAGAAATATATGAAACCTGACAGCTCCATCACATTACATGAAATAAATAGCATGGTATCATCTTCAGGCAGATTGTGTATCATGTGTGCTAAGTCAATAGGATACTTTTTAACATTTGAGCAAGTGTGTCATAGGTCAGTTTGACCAGATGTACTCAGCCTGGACATAACATAATTTTCTATTTTTGTACTACTTTTTCTTGACTTTTTTTAAATTAAATAATGATTATTCACCTCATTATTTTCAACCAAGAATAAAAATTAATGTAGCAGAAAATCTATATGTTCTTTCAAGGTGTTCACAAACCTATTGGATAGAAAATTTAGATGGAATACAATTGAAAAAGATAATAGAGAATCATAGGTATCATGCAAATATAGTGCTCTAAGCAATACAAATTTTCAAGTACTTTAAAAGAAGAAATAAATGATAAAAAATGTTTACAGTTCAAGTGCTAAGGGATGCATGAGTATATTGAAGCTTCAATCAATATTATCTGCAAGAAATGCTTTTACAGTAATGTTTAAACTACAATTTTCAATCTCATATTCCTTTCAATACAATTACAATTGTTCTTTCATAAAACACCAAAACTTTGTTTTAAGCTTATTGAGATGTTAAAATTCTTATAAATAGTTGTGAACAAGTTAATGAGAAATGTTGTTTAGAGACTGCTGAAATCAAAATTGGTTATCAGGCTATAAAGTTTCCATTCTAAGTGTTGTAGCACACCTATAGATGATAATGGGTATGTCTCCATTCCCATAAAAACAGTATGAAATACTGTGTGGATTATAAATATGAAGTGGAAGGAACATACAACTGGGCAGATAAAGAATGTAAGAGAAATGGAGGCTCAGAATGAAACAGAAAAACTTCATTTTGTGCTTATGTAGGTTTATGTTTTCAGAGGAAATAAAGATTTATAAAAATGGAAACAATTTGATTTTGCTTGTATTTTTATTAAAAAGACAGAAATTTTTTTTAATACTTAATAATATCTCATTTCTTTTCAGTATTCTTTTTAACAAGTGTAAGATATAAATTCTAATATATTTTAAAGGTTTTATATCTTTTAAGATATTAAAAATAAATCAATAAAAATACTTTATTTTCATTACGACTTAAGAATTTAAAACCAAGACAAGTGAAATTGCAACATCTTAAAAGTCATTTTAAAGCTTTTAAATAGAATATTATATGGGTAAATTTTATCTCTTACAAATTCATAACAGTATAAAAATAAAAAATGAACGATTTCATTTTTTCCTGCCAAGTCAATAAGCATTCTTATTTTAAATGACCAATTTATAAAATTAAATGTAAATGTCTGAAAATCATGCCCTAAGAAATGAACCAACTGAACTTAATATTTGAGATAGGGGGTGGATATATTTTTAATATGCAAGCTTGTAGCAATAATTTATGTGTGTGTGTGAGAGAGAGAGAGAGAGAGAGAGAGAGAGAGAGAGAGAGAAATAGAGGAAGAATTGCAAGAGAAAAAACAAAAGTGTAAGTAGTTTGAATTTTTATGATTAATCTTAATTTTTTAATGTATGATCATATTAACTTTATCAGATAGTTTCATTTCTCAGAACTAATAAGATCAGATATATGGGAAAAAAAGCATGGCAGTGGTGAATTTGAAAGGAAATTAATTTTCATCAAAATAATTTCAGAATGATAGAAACACAAAACCATTTTTTGGAAGCCAAAAAGAGCAAAGCAAAAATAATAAATTTATTTCTATTTCAGTTTAAGTCCTTTGAAGCAAGACTAACACTTATAATTAATTTTTCTATTTCTTTCCATCTTAAAAAGACTAGGTTTTTGATTATAGTAGTAAGAAACAAAATTTACTTACCATGATAACAAACAATCAGAAAATGTTTCGAAAGTGGTAAAAAGAGCGAAAACGATCCAGTACATCATCCATTTTACCTGGAAAAAATAAAAGGGAAATAAAGTTAAAATTACATGTAATGATCATTATCAATTCATTTTAAGAAAAAGAGATGAGAAGAAACACTTATTTTGACTGTAATTATGATGATTGAATTAATGTTTAATATCATTTTTAAATAACCATAATTTATCTTTTTCAACTATTCTTGGAATTCTGAAAATTATTTGATACTTCTGGTACTGATACCTTGATTACTAGAACAATGTAAACAAAAGTAAAACCTCTTTATAGCATTTTCCCCCCTTTTAAACTGCATACCTTCAGGATGGAAACAACCAGTTCTCTACAATTTTTCTTTAATATCTATAAATTGTAAATGGCCATGAATATTTTTGGGAAATATAGTGGTTTCTCATTGAATTCAAAAATAGAGAAAAAGCAGAGTTATCCTTCATCTAGACTGGTTGGCTTGTTACAGTTAAAGAGTCCTGTCTGCTCAGCTATTTTATCCATAGGTAGAGAGAGAGAGAGAGAGAAATAAATTAATGCCTTTCCTAAAGACATCAGAATAGAGTGAAGACAACAAACCGAAGTTGAAACTTGGCCTGCCAATTTCAATTTTTATTCATAACTGTTATGCCACCTGTACATTCCATAGCAAAACAGGAAAACATCATTTTAATATTTTAACCCTTAATATGAATAAGAATACAAAACATACTTTAAAATTCTTTCATAAGAAAATTATAAAATATTTTTAAAATAATTCAACATAAAATGATACATCACCAAGTTTGACCTCCATGGTTCCAGAGTCAGTTTGAAGTATCAACTGTTATCACATACAGGGGCCACAAAATTAGAATAACACCTCAAATGGTTCTGACCCACTAATCATAGAGATTGTAAATACCACATTTAAGCCTCAAAATAGATGAAAAGCAAAAGGAGATATAAGAATGAGTTATACAAAGATATAAGTTGTTTTTTTTTGTTTTTTTTTTTAACAAATTTAAAAATGTAAAATTTCTCAGTAAATGAGTCAGTATTCCCAATGTAAACTTGCTGTCTTTCAGGAAAACTTCAAATAGCATTTTGACATATTTTAGGTACTAAAAAATCTTTAAAATTCAAAACCGTTTTTTTCTGTTATAAAGCATATACTTAATATGGCCTGAAAAAAAAAAAAAAAAAAAAAAAAATCTAAAAGGTGTGATATCAGGGAACCTTGCTGTCCAAATCAGTAGACCTCTGCCAAGTCATCAATTTGGTAATTTTCTATTAAGAACGCTCTGATGAAATGTGAAGAATGTGCAGACTTGTTTGCAAAAACCTTCTAAAGAGTCTCAGAAAAAAATGTTTCACTTGTAATGTTTCCATCAATAAAGAAAAGTCTGTAAACTCTTGCTAATAACAGCTCCATCAAGACATTTGTGCTTGAGTGACAATTGCTTCTGTGGATGGTTTATAATACCTCAAAAAACATTTACCATATTGTTTGATTTATTAGAAAAATTATTTTTATCTCATTTTGTTTTTCATCTATTTCAAATATGGTAGTTACTATATTTACATCTTGTGCACATACTATGTGTGAAGTATAATAGATTATTAAGATTACAAACCAATAGGAAAATGTTAAAACCTTTTGATCAAGTTTTGGTTGGATTCAAAGAAGGTTTGGCTATAAGATTTGTATTGATAATTATATAGCATTGAAATGAATGCTAATTTGTAAACAAAAGAAATCATTGGATAATATAAAAACATTTAAATTCAATAGTTTATACTGTAAATAAAATAAGTTTAACATATCACTTCAAGATTAGGTACAAACTTGTGAAAGATGTTTTAGTCCTCTGTAGCTAAAATATTTTTAAATTGTTGTGTAGGAAACCTACCACCCCTCTTGAAGATGAGCTTGTCTACAAACAAAGACGTTAAATAGTGGCATGTCAAAAGACAGAGAGTCGGAGAAGTTCTTGGCTGAGCTAGTTATAGACTACTCAGGCGATTTTTGTACCTACTTACCAACCTAATAAACCCCTTTTTATTGTTACGTGTTATTTGGCGTTTGTCTTTACTAACCCCAAATCAACATCATAACAATGGCGACGAGAGATTCGTTCATCACGTTGAGTGGAGAATTTTTCAACTCTAGGTGGACTATATCATTTTTTTTTCTCGCACTGAAAGAAAAAGAAAAAAAAAACAATACGTCGAACTTTGTTCTTCACGAAGAAATACGATTTCAACGTGCCAAAAAGAAGTAAGACTTGTGCTTATTGTGGATATATACATGTTTTTCCCTTTTTTGACTGTTTTCGAAAAGTGTTTTGTGTAATCTATTACGCATCATGGAAGATTTGATTGCATTAACGAAAACTCTAGTGCAAAGTCAAATTCAGGAACAAGAGCAACAAAAATTGTTTCGGGAACAACTATTGGATTTACAAGTTCAGCAGCGAAATGACACAAAGGCTTTATATGAAGAGATTTTACTTAAGAATCCAGTAAATTTGTCATTCACGGCCGAAGGTATTGCTAATTCTATTACTGAGTTCAAATTTAACCCAGAAGAGGGAATAACATTTCCCGCGTATTTCAGAAGATTTGAAACAATATTTGAAAAAAAATGTGAAGGTTGGACTGATGAACAAAAAGTGAGTTTACTTTTACAAAAGTTGGGTACAGATGAAAATAATAAGTATACGAATTTTGTCCTTCCAAGAAAAACTAGTGACATTTCTTTTCAAAGAAACTGTTAATACTTTATCTAGTATTTTTTGGCGAAGTTAGTTTGTTTCATACTGTTTCTCGTGTTTGAATATGGTAAAAGCGTGACGATGAGGATGTTGTTACGTATGCTGGAAATGTTAACAGAATGTGTGAACATTTTATGTTACATGATCTTTCAATTGATTGATTTAAATGTTTGATATTCGTTCAAGGCTTGACTTCTAGCAAAGATAAGGACATAAGGTCCCGAATATTGGCAAAACTTGAACAAGATTCCGAGATCACTTTGCAGAAGGTTACGGAAGAATGTCAAAGAATTGAAAACTTAAAACATGACAATACCCAAATTGAAGAAAAAGACATATCCTGTGTCCATGCTATTCGACCAAAAACGGGAATAGTTAATAAAAACATTAAAAAACCAACGTGCTTTGGATGCGGTGGTGGTCATTTTATAAGTGAATGTTTTTTTCGCAACAAAAATTGCTATTCGTGTGGCAATAAAGGCCATCTAAGTACTCATTGTAGAAGCAAAAGAAAAAAAATTTAAGTCGAAAAAAGATGTGAATATTGTATTGTCACGCCAGGAGATTGAGGAGGGGCAGAAAAGAAAATTTGTACAGGTAAAAATTAATGGAAAAAATGTTAAACTACAGCTAGATACTGGAAGTGATATTTCCATTATTAATACAGCAACATGGATTAAAATAGGCAGACCTTTGCTTAAAAAGACTGAAAAAAAAGTGGCTCATGGATTTCTGGAAGAAAATTGCATTTTCAAGGTGAATTTTCTTGTAATATTTCATTTGTTGGTAAGACACTAAAGTCTAAAGTGTATGTGCTACAAAATGCTTCAAATTTGTTTGGAACAGATTGGATTATACTGTTTAATTTATGGGAACTCCCTATAAATTCTTTTTGCAATAGAGTTAATGTTTCTTCTCGATGTAAAAATCGGGTTACAGAAAATTTGTTGAAAGATCTGAAAATAAAATTTCCACAAGTATTTTCAGAAGGTCTTGGATGTTGCAAAAAGGCGAAGGCAAAATTTGAAGTGAAGGAAAATGTAAAACCTATTTTCAAGCGAAAAAGAAATGTGCCATTTGGTGTTGTGGAACAGATTAACAAAGAATTGGAACGGCTTGAAAATTTAGGAGTTATTTCACGCATTGAATTTTCAGAGTGGGCCTGCCCTGTTGTATATGTTAAGAAAAAAGAATAATAAAATTCGGATGTGTGCCGATTTCTCTACGGGTCTAAATGATTGCTTAAAAGACCACACATATCCTTTGCCTTCACCAGAAGACATTTTTGCAAGTTTAAGTGGAGGAAAAATATTCTCTAAATTGAATTTATCGGATGCCTATCTCCAAGTGAAAGTGGACGAAGAATGTTCTAAATTGTTGACTATCAATACACACAAGGGTTTATACAAATTTTGCCGTTTGGTTTGAAAGTATCCCCTAGTATTTTTCAGCAAATTATGGACACTGTGCTGGCAGGGTTGGACTTCGCCATTGCATATCTTGATGTTTTGATAAAAAGTAAAGATCGAAATGAACATTTGGAACATATTAATCAGGTGTTTGAAAAAATTGAAGAATATAGATTCAAAATGGCAGCTGAAAAATGTGAATTTTTTATGAGTGAAATTAAGTTTTTTGGGCAGATAATAGACTCTGATGGAAGAAGACCAGATCCGGCGAGGGCAGAAGCGATCAAAAGCATGCCAACTCCCCAAAATGTAGTAACGCTACAAGCGTTCTTAGGACTTGCTAACTATTATGGGATATATATTCCTAATTTGTGCAGCCTTATGGCTCCATTAAATAAATTGCTTAAAAAGGGAGCAAAGTGGGAATGGTCAGAAGTGTGTCAGAAGGCGTTTGACAAAATAAAGAATATTTTGACGTCGGAATTATCACTAACACATTATGACCCTAAACAGGAAATTATAGTGGCATCGGACGCAAGCGAGCATGGAATAGGTGCGATAATTTTGCATAAATTCAGAGACGGCAATACGAAGCCAGTGGCACATGCATCAAGGACATTATTACCCGCAGAAAAGAAGTACTCTCAAATTGAGAAAGAAAGCTTGTAAAAAATTCCATAAGTACATACATGGAAGAAGGTTTATATTGCAGACCGACCATCGCCCGCTGCTTTCAATCTATGGTTCGAAGAAGGGTATACCTACTCATACGGCAAACCGTTTGCAACGATGGGGAACCATTTTGTTGAATTACAATTTCAAAATAGAATTTTTATCATCGAAAAATTT